AATTTTATGCAACAATCTTGTTAGTAATTTATAATTATTATTTCATATATCTAATAGTTTACAATTCTAATTTCACATATCTAATGATTAAACTAATTTTGTTTTACTAATAAAGTTTAACATTAATTATTTATAACTATTTTATCATTAATTTATAACTATCATTTTAATTCTTTATAACTGTAACTTTACATATTTAATAAGTAAGTGCATTATTATCTTTGTATTTCAATTTCAAATTATATATATTTAGATCCTAAAAAATTTAGTTGTAGTTTTTAAATTTTACGAGACTTATTCATAAATGATTTTGTCTATCATAGGAGCCATACATAAATTTTTTCCTTTTATTTGATTTTTTATGGCAATCCAATCTTAACATAACATTCTTATGAATTACCTCACCATTTATAAATTTTTTGTATCTGTTTCAATATAAATGCGAAAATGTCAAAGTTGAAACTTGAAATTAAGCCAAATAGGCATCGCCATCATGGTTAGCATTCTCCCTCCTTACACTATTGTTCCTTCTTCACCTATACCCTCTCTTACATTACTTTCTTTCTTATGCGAACAAATCAAGCTTCCCACTCATGCTCCTCTCCTTTATGTTTACAAAGCCAATAATAACATTCATCTAGGGGTGTGCAATTTACCTGAAAATCAGTATACCCGCCCGACCCGTATTTAAACGGGTCAACCCATATCCATTATCTAAGAAAAATAGATGGGTATAGGCAAGTATATATCCGCATATCAATAAATGAGGGGTAACGGGTAAGGCTACAAGTAGCCCATACCCGCCTATTTATATTTAAAAAAATCTTTAATTCTTCTTCATTTAGGATCTGTGTCAAGGCTTAAGGTGGGGTGTCATTTTTTTTAAAAAATCTAAGCCCCTAAAGTTAAGCCTTCAACTTGTGCTTAGCTATACTGTCCATGTGTGAGATCATGAGTATGGAGCTGTGCCTTAAACAGATCTTGAGTACTGAGCTGCAAGCTACAAGCTGCCTCTCGTCCTCTCCACTCTGCTTCTCAATTCTTCAGGATTTTGCTTCACCAGTCGCCAGCCACGGCTAGTCACCCTTGCCCAATCTTCCCTTCAGATGTCTCCCCTTCTCTATTCAAGACTTCGTGTGAGTGTGATGGCCTGAGTCGAGCAACATTTGTTTGTTTAGGATTTTACCTTCTCATTTATTTGAGATTTCAGCTTCAACTTCACCGTTCAGTGACTCAGCATTCACTATTTTGCAAGCTTCACCTTCACCTCTATCGTTCTTCCTCCCACCCCATCTTATCTGCTCATTGTCACTCTATCACTATCTCACCAACATCAAGTAAGATACCTCATTCTCGTCCTCTTCCTAACTGTTGTTGGCTTCTATTAGTTCAGCTCTTTAGTTATATTTGTGCATTTAGTAGGATGTAATAGGGTGCTTATTCTGTTGGTAATTTAGTCTGAACTTCTGGGTGATACTCTTTATGTGCTTCTGTCTTGCAATTTATCCTGTCTTTGTTTCTATTTAATTTCATGGGCAGGCTTTTAACTTTGTGTTCCCTTGTTGGCATTCAAATAACTTTAGTACCGGTGTGTTTTGTCTCAGTTTCTACCCTCAATAATAGTTCTTTTCTAGCTTTCCTTTTTTAATCAACATTGCCTTTGTTATACTTTAATCTTCATGTTATTTTTGCTTTCACTCTACAGTCATTTTTATAGATTTTCAACTTTTGCTTTGAAAATTTTTCATATTTCATTGAATTTTGAATTTATATGTGTGTTTGAGTGTTTGGAAGATTCATGATTCTATATTGTTTTCCTTTTTCTTTCTCTTTGTTTTTTAAATTACCTTTAAAGTGACTGTTTAATTCTTCATTTTTTTAATTTTTTTTCAACTGGCTACTGTTAGTTCAATACTTTGCCTATAATTCTCACTGATAGCAAACAACCTTATATATTTTAAGAAAATTTTAGATAGATTTAGCCTATTGAAAATTAATAAACAAACTTTTACATTTGTTTTAATTTATCGTGGGTGGCATATTTTTTTTAATGTTGAAATCTATCCTTTTTGTTATTTTAATCAAGAGACTCTTTCCCGCAAGACATTGTCCATTTCCTAAGGCTTGTTGGTAATTGTATTGTGTGTGATTGTTATCGTGTTGTACCTAGTATTAAATATGTCTATGATTGATTTGTTTTAGTTGTTATATAATTTTTACTTTAAAATTCATTATGGAAAATATGCAAGCTGTAAAAGGGGACCATGAACCTAAAACTACCACCACCATCACAGCACCCATTGAATCTAAACCTACCCAAGATGAAGAAACACCACCCTCCAAATGTAAAAAGAGCACAACATCTGAAATGTAGAATCATTTTGAAAAGTTTATAAATAAAAGAGGTGAGCATCAAGCCAAATGTAACTATTGTGGAAAGGATTTTGCTGGCCATTCTTCTAAAATTGGGACTAAGAATCTTTAGTGACATTTTGATTCTTGCCCAAAGAATCCAAACAAAGCCAAGGCATGACAGTCCTTATTTTCTGCTTCTTTTGGTAAATCAATGACTTATCACTCGTATAATGCAGAGCAATGCAAAAAAATAATTATTGAATTCATCATCTTGGATAAGATTCCTTTTCAAGTTGTGGAGGGCAAGGCTTTAAAAAATGTTGGAAGTGCTTGAACTGAGATTTACATGCCCCTCTCGTACCACTATGGTTAAGTTGTGCTACAAAATATATTTAGAAGAAGCAAAACATTTGAAAAGGTATTTTAAAAAATCTAAAGTTTGTGTGTCACTCACTACAGATTGTTAGACTTCAATATAAAATTCCAACTATATGTGTACGAATGAAAATTACATAAATAAATTTTGAATTTTTACACGGTTGAAAACCATAAAGGGGATACCATTGACAATGAAATTAAAGGATGCTTATTTTATTAGGGTATTGAGAAAGTATTTACAATTACTATTGATAATGTTTCTTCTAATGATTCTACTGTTATGTTTTTTAAAAAAATGTTTGAAGGATTTAGGAGGTCTAGTATGTGACGGAGAATTATTGTAGATGTAGCATGCTACTTATATTTTAAATTTAATTATTTTAGAAGGCCTTAAAAATATGAATCAATCTATTAAACTTATTCGGCATGCAATCAAGTTTGTTAGATCTTCTCTAGGTAGGCTTAAAAAAATTTAAGGAGCTTATTGAAAAATTGAGAGTTGATTTAAAGAGTCCACTTAGAATGGATTGTCCCATTAGGTAATTGACATGATTGTTAAATTATGATTGTTTGCATTATGATATATAATTTTTCCTAACATTTAAATCTTTTCCTCATCTTAATAGGTGGAACTCAACATATATCATATTGCAAAATGTCATTAAGTTCACTAAGGTCTTTGATAAGATGGAGGATGAGGATCAAGATTATAAGAACTACTTGAAAAAGAAAGTTAAACTGTCTTCAAGCTGGAGCTATGTTGATAATAGGATGGAAATGGAGGATGAAGATGAACTTGGTGATCATGATAGCGATGAAGGTATAGTTAAATCTCCTAATACCTATGACTGGAATGTGGTAAAGGAATTTTTTACCTTTTGGGAGTTGTTCTACACTATGAATCTTCAATTTTTTAAATCAAATTATGTCACATTAAACACATATTTTTAAAAAATAATTGCAATCAAAAAATCAAATTATGTCACATCAAACACATACTTTTAAAATATAATTGCAATCAAGACACGACTAGATTCAATTGTAGCTGAATCTAATTCTTTGTTGAGTGACATGGTAGAAAGGATGCAAAATAACTATGACAAGTATTAGGAAAAGGCACAAAACATGAATCCATTATTAGTGATAACTATGATTCTTGATCCTATATACGAATTTTGTTATGTTGAAGTTGCTTTCAAACATTTTATTGGTGATTACACAAAGAGATAAATAATGAAAAAGAAGATTATGGGGCTCTTGTATCACTTAGTTGATGAGTACTTTGCAACTCTTATAGCCAGTTGTAGTGAACCATCTAAAACTAGTACAAAGATGGGGGATAACAGTGCAAATAGTGGGGAAAGCAAGTTCCTCCATCTTCTAAAAAAAATTATTAATGTAGCAATGCAAAATTTCTTAGCCACTGTAATGAGTAAGCATCTAAAGAAACCAATTTTAGAGGTGGAAGAGTACCTAAATGCAGAGTTAGTTAATGCTTGTGATGATAGTTTTGACATTTTAGCATGGTGAAAAGTGAATTCTTCCAAGTATAAAGTTTTAGATTTAATTGCACATGATTTATTGGCTATACTTGTATTCATAATGTCTTCAGAATCTGCTTTTAATATTGGGGATTGAGTATTAGATGCTTTCAGGAGTTCCCTATCTTAGAAAATGGCAAAGGCACTCATTTACACCTAGAATTGGCTATCATCAACATCATGCATCCTATTGGAAGAGATTGATATTGACTATTTTGATAAGACTTTACGTGCTGTTGATGGTAATCTGAATAAGTTATATTATTTATATTCATTTTAATTCTTCATATTATATAATATATATCATTACTTACTAATCTAACTATCTTAATTTGTAGAGGAAGATTCAATAGCTTAATCTTTTACTGTATCAAATAATTTCGAAGAAGATAAATGAGAATTGATGAGGCTAAATGGGTTTTGACTTTTAAAAATTAGAATTATCGATAATTGTTTATTTAGTATTTGCTGTTAAAATATTTATTCTTGTATTATTCAGAGATTTGAACTTTTAAAATAATGCTACTTGAGTACTTAAGTTAAATTAGAATGGAATGAAAATTATATATTTTGATTCTTTTTTTTTAAGAAAATAGGTGCTACAGATGAATGGGAGACCCAGACCGTCTACACCCGTTTAAAAATGGGTGCAAACGGGCATAAGTGGGTATGGGCACGTGGCCACCTATTTATCCATAAACCAGTGAGTAACAGGTATGATTATGGATGGCCCATACCCGCCCGTTTACACCCAGAGTCATCTGTAGTGATCCAACATCACCGCCACCACATTCTAATCACTTCTCTCAGCCAAGCTCTGTTCCTTACTATCCTATTGCCGGCAGATTGTCTTGGTCCCATGCTGGAGGTGGTCGCTGGGAACTCCATTGCAACGCCAAGGGAGCTCACTTCTACCAAGCCTTTTGTCACTCTACTTTGGATGATCTTGCTGACTTTGTTCCTTCTCAAATCGTTCAACAACTGATACCGCCTATTGATTATGGCTGTCCCATCGCACAAGTTCCTCTACTGGCGGTGCAGCTCACCAGATTTTCATGCGGTGGCCTCACCGTTGGAGTGGCCATGTGTCGCGCAGTGATTGACGGAACCGCCGCCATGCGGTTTGTCAGTTCACGGGCCAAATTAGCCAGAGGAGAGGTTCTAGATTCAATGGAAATGCCATTCCACGATCGAACAGAGCTAGATTCACGCAAACTGAACACGGAGCCTCGTTTTGAGCATTCCAAGTTTCACCCACCCCCACTTTCAGCAGGTAGTTTAGGAGGATCAGAAGGCGAAACCAAGACATTCATTGCCATTTTGAAGCCCACGAGATACCAAGTCAACAAAGTCAAGAAGAAAGTCGACGCCTTTGCTTCCCGTTATAAACGGCCATGCAGTAGTTTCGAGGTGATCTCAGGGCACGTATGGAGGTGCGTCAGCAAGGCACGCTATGCCGGTGGCGGCGACGACCATCCAACGAGGTTGTCGACGCTGGCTAACTGTAGAAACCTTCTGAAACCGGCACTCCCTAGTAACTGTGCAGGGAATGCAGCTTTTCCAACTGTCACACCGACCTGTTCCTTTAACGCCCTCATGCACAAGCCTCTGAGTTATGCTGTAGAGAAAGTAAGGGAAGCACTAGAGGGGCTAACAGACGAGTATGTGAGATCTGCTCTTGGGTACATCGAGAGGGAGAAAGAGATGAAGGTGGTGAGGTACAATTTTCACTATCCTGTGAAGAGTGTATTGGAAAAGGGAGAATTTAGGGGGAACTCGAATCTGTTTGTGGTTAGGTGGATGAATTTTTCATATCGTGAGGCTGATTTTGGGTGGGGAAAACCAGTTTATTTTGGTCCGGCTTCATTGAGTCCGAAGGCAAAGGCTTTCGTTCTCAACAATGCTGATGGAGATGGCGTCATTGTAGCCATTCGTTTGCAGGCACTCCAAATGGACCCTTTCAAGAGATTGTTTTTCGAGGATATTGAGGATGACTTTCCCATCTCTAAGTTATAAAATCTCTTCCCTGCGTTTTACTAGACGTTGGTTATTCAACCAACTGATATTGATTTTTTTTAAAAGCTTAGTCACGTAGTATTTTTATTTGAATAAAACGGAAGGGTCGTGAACTCATGATGTTTTTTGTTGCTTAATTACTGTCATATTAATTGTTTGTGACGTTCAAGATGCAAATCAAGAATAAGAAATTAGAATTAAGAACCAAGAACGAACATGTTTCGCTACCGAATTTGACAAATTCTCTGTCCATTTTCCAAAATGAGCATATCTCAAGATTTACCTCACCTATGAGCGCTTTTCTGTTAAGAGAATGAGATTATGGTAATGGTGTGATTAGTTATGTTGTAGATAAGAATGGCTGTATAGCTGTATCATTGATATTCTCTGTAGATTTACTTTACACGTGTGCCATTTGTATTTGTTGATCTGTAACCGTTTGTCCTCTCTGTGCGTGCGTGCGTGCGTGTGTGTGAGTATAGTGAGCCAGCCTCAGTGCCTTGAGCTGAGCATTTCCATTTGTGTCTGATTTCTATCTTTTTCCGTGTGAAGTATAAAGCGGAAGAACCTGGATTGTACGTTCATTTTGTCCATTTCTAATGAAATTCCCTTTCAGTTCATTGCATTTTTATTTTTTACATGTCAAATGGATAACTAAAATCTACGCAAATTAAGTCCAAGTCATCAGAAGGTTAGGTAAAGGCCAAACCCAAATGGGCGTTGAAGACAACAGGATAAGGATGAGTGAATGTGAAGTATTATTGATGATTCTACATTATACATCGAGTCTGTATATATATACATAAACAAATAACTGTTTTAACTATCTGTTACGGTGACTATATAACTAACACAACTGCCTTGATCCCTCAAACTGTACTAGGATTGCTTCGACAAGGGGAAGAGATCATAGTGAGGATTTTAAACGTTCCTCAGCAGGTTTGGTAGAAAGGCCAAACCCAAATGGGAAGAGGGGATTGTAGTGAGGATCTCCAACATTCATAGGCAGTTGATCAACAGTTTTGAACCATGTTCGTGGGAGCTTTCCTGTGAAACCATAGTCACCAAATATGACATCAGCCACACCCTGACCTTCACTTCCAGGAAGCCAAGCGGCAACAAGAGCATCGATTAAATCAATATATGGTTCAATAACAACAGGGCGACCAGAGATTATGACAACCACGCATTTTGTAACTCCACAGACATTTCTAATGATCTCGGGGCCAGGATAGGGGATTGTTAGGTTCTTGCTGTCACCATCAATTTCAGCATAAGGATGCTCTCCAACTACAACTATGGCATAGGAGAATTCATTGGACTTGATATATTCTACATCAGGGTTCCCCTTGTAAATCACTTCGGTCTCTGGATCAACTGTGTTTTTTATAGCGGTGAAAATTGAAGTCCCTAATCATACCGAGATTCACTTCAGTAAGAAACGTTGCAACGACATGAAAATAAAGAAGAAAAATGGAATTAGAAACCAACTCCACCTTTAATAAGATTGTTGCCACTGATCCCTTGCCACTCAATGGTCCAGCCACCACATTGATAGCCTAAATTATCAGCGTGACTTCCAGCTACAAGTATTTTTGACGCCTTTTTAGGAAGAGGTAGAAGCAGTCCATCAGGTGACTCACCATTTTTTAATAGGACCAATGATTTCCTTACAGCCTCCCTAGCCAATTCTCTATGCTCCTGTTCACATTGTGGTGATAAAGAAGAGATGGTGATCCCCCCATGTGATTGTGATTTGTAAAACGTTGAGACTTAAAGGAACTTATTTGATGTAACTTCTCTGACCTGAAATCCTAAATATTTGACTAAGCTGTAATCGGCCAATGGATTTTCAAAAAGACCCATCACGAACTTGACCCGCAAAATTCTTTTCACTGCATCGTCAATGCGAGCCATAGGAATGACTTTAATTTTAACCAGTCTGGTTACACCATCAATAAATTCTGTATAGTTCTTTGGAACCATGAACTACATGACAAGAAAAGTTTATTACAGGATAAAATGCTTAATCAAGGGATGAAAATTTAAAATGGCATAATGTACTGTTAAAGTGTAGACCCAACCAACCATGTCAATGCCAGCGTTAACTCCGGCTTCGATTGAATAAGTGTAATTTGCATGAGGTGGGGAGGTGATTCTGTCTATGCCCTCAAAATCCGATATAACAAAACCCTGGAATAAGCCGCACGCAAATTAATTATCTTGTGTGGGTATGATAATCAAAAGGGTCTTCAAAATATGAATAGAGATCAAATAATTCTACCTTGAAATGGAGCGTTCTTTTAAGGTAGCCAGTAATGAGGTTGCGGTTAGTATGCATTTTTACTCCATTCCAACTTGAGTATGAGATCATGATTGTTGCCACACCCTTGCTAATAGAGACCAAGTAGCCTGGCATGTGGATTCTCATCAATCCATCTCTATCTATAATTGTGTTGTTCTCATCAATCCCATGAACTGTTCCACCATCACCCACATAGTGCTTGGCACATGCTATAACCTTCTCCCTGTTCAAGGAAAGACGATTATTTGAATAACTAAAATACAAACTGAACCTCGAATACATAATCTAACATGAAATAGAGCAGTTTTACAGTGTCTTGCAGATTAAAATGTGACCATGGATTTCAAAAGAATCGTAACGAGAATCCAGCATGTGACCATTGTCCCTATTTTTAATCTAGTGGCCTGAGAGGAAATAAATAATCACAAAATAGGAGAAAGAAAGGCAAAAAATGTCAGTTAAGATAGAAATCTGTCATGTGACAAACCGTCCTGCACCGGGAGGAGGTGCCGATATTTACTGAAAGCTTAGATTACCCCAAGACTTTAAACATAAATGCAGAGGAAAATTACAATTTAAAGCTAGATGCCTCATTCTATAAATTCTCACTTTCCATCAACAAATGGGACGCCCTTGGATAAGTTATCAGGAATATCCCCTTGCAACCCTGATATAATCTGGGTCATCTCTTGCACTACGTTAGGATCTTCACTGTAGCTTTCATAACACCGACCCCATCTTGGATCTCTACAGACCTACAAACAGTAAAAATCATAGATGTAAAGTGACATAACCTTTGAGCGAAAGAAGTTCATGTTTGTCACTTACTGCAATACAAGGTGCAAAAACATACGGAATTCCGGTAGCACGAACTTCAAGGGCAGTGGCAGCTCCAATTCGCTTCACAAGCCCTGGGTCCCTAACCATCAAAATAGATGTGTGCAATAATGGATCAGTTTGCTGAGCTCCAACAAAAAAAGAAAAATTGCAGCTTTGGAGAAAAGAGAGTTGCTCCGATTGATGAAGCATCATTAACATTAAGGTGTGAGTGTATTTGCCTGGTGGCTCCAAGCCCAATATTGTGGGGAAAGACAGTTGCTCCGGAAACAGGGCTATGGCCGTGAACAGCGTCGATGCCATAAATCATTGGGATGGCAAGCCGAGTTGATAAAGCACCCTTCTGAAAATCATTCACCATGTCAATCCAAGTTTCAGCTGAAGCATGCGGAGCAGGACGACTCCCACCCTCACTCATTACACTCCCTACGCAAGAGAGACATTTTCCATTTATTAATTAATGCATATATATCATAGAGGTTGGAGGCGAGTGTGGGGTATATGTTGTCTGTTGTGGTATTTACCAATGAAATGTTTCTTGAGCACGTCAGCAGACGCAACCTTGCGTTCAATCTGCAGCATTTGGCCAATCTTCTCCTCAAGAGTCATGCGGCTCATAAGATCCTCGACCCTCGCATCAATCGACATTGTCGGGTCTTTATACTTCATGTACTCTGGCACTGAAAGGCAAGCCCAACCACCGAACAGCCAGAGCCCCGCCAAGAACACGAGAATTTTAACCATTTCCTTCAACTCCCTATATATAGAAAGTATATCAGAAATGAGTTAGTTAATCCTCTGACCATAATTTTAGCCGGTTAAGAGCAGTAAGCATATCACTCGGATGCATTAATTAAGGTTCCCACGATGTCAGGAACGATGCAATCACATTTCGGGAACCGGAGGTGCAAAGTTATATGCTATCTATGGAGGCCGAAATTAGTTGTAGAGAAACAGTAATTGAATAGAGATTGAGATTTGAAATGCAAGGTCAACAGTTTTCAAGACTGCAGTTAATACAGTGAATGATAATAAGAAAAGAAGGAATACGAAATCAGGAGACAAGTTTTCCAGATGAAAATTGTAAGGCGATAAGGGCAGTGATGAGTGATGACAGAGCTGGAGAAATTACAGTGACTATTGTGTGTCTGCAGATCCAGAGAAGGAGATCTTCAAAGACGGCAGAGCCTGCGATGGGAAAAAAAATGGTGGGAGGCAGAATATATAAGCATTGTAAGCGAGACGGGAGGACAAGGGACCAGGATGCCAACTCTGCTCCGCATCCACGAGAGGATGGATTCATTTCTTTGACACGAAAATTCTCAGATTTTGGGTTTAGATTTTTGAAATTTCGATAAACTCTACACGAGGGAAAACCGTCATCACATAGCCATTTTTCTTTTCAGAGATAAGGTGACTTGAGTTAGTTGGCGTGGGGTTATTAACTATCTTCTTGAGATGTTGTTGGAATAAATCGATTTTGGGAAAAATATGTTATCCGAATAAATCGAGATTTTAATGAGTATTAGAACAGTAACAGAATAAATCTTTTGTTGAAATTTTACTGACACAGATATTTGGAAAAAAAAAATTATAAAAATTGCAAAATTACGGTTATTTTATGATAAGAGAGTACAATTGCATCAGGAGTGATTGATTTTGATTTTATATTTTTTAAATAATGCTTTGCAATTTTAAATAGATTTTAGCGTAAACGTAACACGATTTGCAACATGAATTTTATTATTTTGTGACTTTTCATTCTAATTATGCGGATCACGTCCCTTGTTTGTTCAAGGGACTGCTGAGGAAAAACCTTATCAACAAGCCGAAATCCATCGTAGTATCCTTCTTGCGGGAAATATGCGAGCAATATATATCTATATTCAAAGCAAATGCCAATGCAATAACTCTCAGCCCAAAATCCCCTTCATTAAAAAAATGTAAAAGAATAATCCATTTGCTGAATTTTCCGTTCAATTACCAGAAACAAGAACTCAACATATTTGTGTGCCATCTGGCATCTTCGGTCCTGCTTTCGTTCAGTTTCTTTTTTCGATT